ATGCCGTATAGGATTACGAGAACATGACATTGATAGATAGATGCAGCCCAGGCAGACTTGAATTATGACATCTTGCCGTCAAGAAACTGTGTAGTTTTTGTATTTTTATTTAATATTTTTCAAAGAAAATAAATCAAACTTGCAAGACACGTCTATTATTTTATATTGAAGTTAATACTACCTTCTTCAATTTATGATATAAGAGTTAGTTGACTAATTTGAGTAGATTAAGAAAATTAGGTAAGTTAATTATTTGTAATAAATAAGTATTATCTTTTTTTAAAATATCCTTGCTAATCATGTGTATTAGCTAAAACTATTATTTGGTAAAACATTTAACATGTGTAACTATTACAAGGACTGCCTTGAGAAATAAATAGATAAATATGAGAGATAAAATGGATTGAAGTCTTATATTTAGGACTAAATTGAATATTAAACTAGCTCTTATATTAAAAACTTTCCAGTGATAATTCTCTTTTATTCTATCCCTTGAAACTTTCCAGTGTCTCTAATTATTTATACTTCAACACCATAAAAACTTTTAGTTAATATGCTGCCACTTATCTTATGTATAGTTTATATTATATTATATTACTTATGCCATTAGCATTACTCATCATTCACATAAAATCCAAGTAAAAAACATATACTAATATGAGTATTCAGCATTACATTTGCACTTTAATCAATTGAAATGAGCATAATCCATATAAAGTGCAAACAAAATATGGGTAACATAGATGCAATCACAGAGAGAAATATATGCATTCACGTCTTTTTTGCGTTTTATTCTTTTCTCACAATCAGTTTTCAAATCAAATATACAACACACATTTATTTTTGTGAATGTAGCAGCGGATATGATTCAAGAATAAATCATTCTGTATACTTGTTTCTCTACCTCATTGGCATTTGGTAGAAGCTGCAGCAAGACTTGCTACAAAGTCATCAATATTCTTATCAGTACTTCCACCCTCATCACAAGCCTTTGCTGCAACACCTTTCCATTTCATGGCATTCTTCTTCATCTCTTTTCCTCTTTCACTCTGCATTACTTCCTCTATACATTTCTTCACTGTCTCTCTTCTCACAACTCCTTTCTCATCCGCTTCAGCTTTCACTCCAATCTTCCACACATCCTTTATGTACTTTGCATCTGTGGGTTGGTCTGTCCACTGAGGAACTGCAACCATTGGAACCCCTAAGCTCAAAGCTTCCACTGTTGAGTTCCATCCACAGTGTGTCAGAAAGCAGCCCACAGCTTCATGATCCAGCACTTGTAATTGAGTACACCATGTGACCACCAAGCCCTTTTTCTGAGAAATCTTCAAGAAGTCCTTAGGAAGCTTAGGTTTCTCTGATTCTTTTACTACCCATAAGAAGTAACTTACACTGTCGTTCAAACCCCAAGCTATCTCCTCCATTTGGTCACTGTCAAGAGCCACTAGACTTCCAAATGAGACATAAACGACAGACCCGCTTGGCTTGTCGCTTAACCAGTTCATGCAAGCTTCGTCTTCCTCATTGTAAAAGCTGAAACCATAGGCGCAGTCATCTTTGAGTCTTTTGTCTAAGAACATTGATGGTATGGTTGGACCTATTGTCTTCAGCGGGAAGATTTTTGCTTGCCAATCAGCCACCTAGGATGTGCCAAAGATGTATGTGAAGAGCTTCAATTTCAAGTATGATAATTTACTCATTGAATATACTTCTGTTCTCATGTGGCAAAAAATGAGAAGATTTTTGCTTGCCAATCAGTCTTTTCCAAGTTCGACAATGGAAATAGCGAAAGATGTTTTAGGTATTAATTTCGTTGACAAGTTCAACATAGGAAAGCGACAGAAAAATATAAGCAGCTCATGTGGCAAGAGCAAAGTAAGCGTGACGTGAATAGTGAATAATGGGCTATTATATAATACCTCCATTTCTTAATATAAGAACTAGTTTGACTTTTAATTTGATCCTAAATCTAAATATAAGACTCTAATCTATTTTGTCTCTCATATTTATCCATTTTTTCCAAGGTAATTCTTATAGTACTTGTAGATTATTTAATTTGATCCCAATAAAAATAATTCCCATGACGTTTTTTTCCTTGTTATTTCACAAAGAATATAATAAGCAGGGTTTTTTTTGTTCATGATTTTAAGGATCAGGGGTTGATATGCGCATAATTTAAGTTTAAATGTTACGTTTTCTTTTTTTGACCAGCAAATGTTACGTTATCTACAGCAAGGAAGCTAAAAGAATAAAATATAATTTAAGTAGGTACATGATTTAGGGATTAGGAGTGCATGACTAATTAGATGGTAATTTGTGTTTTTCTTGGTAAATGAGATATTCTTATATAATCCCCTTGTACTTATTTTCAACTTTTAAATGGATGCTGATCCTCCAGTCAGCCAAATTTGGTTGAACATTCGTACTCATAAGGCTAAAAAGTCTAATCCTGTTATTAATATAAGCCGAATTGAATAATTTAAAAATATTAAAAAAGTTACTAAATTTTTATATTAATATTTTTAAATTAATTTTTCATATTAATTAATTGATATATAACATAATGATTTGTATAAATATTTTAAAGAAGAAATGTAATATGTCATAATTAAATAATTTAGTAATTTTTTTAAATTAGTTAATTAAACTTTATATTAAAAATTGAAAATACTATTTTTGTTTGTATTAGAAAAGAAGAGTGTGATCATACATATGTGACGTGACCTGGGCACTCGGGCAGCTTCTCTCTCCTTCCCAATTCGGTTCGCTGCCTTCCTTTTTACAAAATAATGCCGTTTTGGGTGTAAAATGCAAGAGCTTTGAATATTTTGTTTTTTTAAAAAATATTTAATATCTTGAAATATTTTTTAATAGTATCTAATATTTTAAATTATTTTTTAATAACATTAATTATTTTAAAATAATTTTTGATACAGTCATTAGCTTAAAATTCTTTTTTTTTTAAGAATATCTTAAAATATTTTTTTTAATAACACCAAGTATCTTCAAGTAATTTTTACCTTAAAAAATTTTTGGAAAAGCAGTTGGTATCCTAAATTTAAAGTGCTTGTGGCTACTAAGAAAAATAATTTAGGATATCGGATGGTATTAATAAAAATATTTTAGAGTGTTTAGTAGACTAAAAATATTTAAGATATTGGGTATTGTTGGAGAAATATTCTTAGAGTGCTATATGCATCAAAAATTATTTTAAGATATTAGGTATTTTAAAAAAATATTTTAATGTACTAAATGTATCAAAATATATTTTAAAATGCTAAGTACTATTATGTCAAAAATTATTTTAAGGTATTAGGTATTGCTAACAGTATATTTTAAAATGCTGTATCAAATTATTTTAAGATGGTAGGTGTAAAAAATATTTAAAATGCTTTAAGATACTTTGGTGTTACTGAAAAAACTAAAAACCATTTACTCTCTAAAACCGCGTCATCGTGGACAAAGGATGGCAGCGGACCGAATGAGGCAGTGGAGAGAAGCTGCTCCCATGACATGACATGACATCTAAAACACCTGTCACATGTTTTTGTTTGTTAGCGTAATATTCCACCGCATACCGAGACTTGAATAAAGCCCCTCGATGTGGACCCCACAGTTCTCGTTTTCTATTATGCAGGGTATTGAAAGAATTGAATTCATTAGCAACCTACTCAAAATATGCTACTATTATATATATATATATATATATATATATATATAAGGTCTAATTTATGGCATTAGGAGTTAAATTTTATATTTAGAACAGGTGGCAATACTGCTTATTATATTGTTTAAACAATGATTTTCAACCAAATCTAACAGACTGTCTACATTCAAGTAACGACTTTCCACACCCCTCTTTTATAGTATATGGGACAATTTATGAACTAAGAAATATTAATTCAACAAGATAGAATTCCTTCACAATATATATATACTCCTCCGGTCCTTAATATAAGACCCATTTAACTAATTTGATTAGATTAAGGAAGTTAGGTAAGTTAGTTAATTACAAGAAAAGTGACACATTTTTCCTAAAACATCATAATCATCTTTCTTAATACCCCATCTCCCTCTTCTACTTGATTATGGTTGAGGGAGTATCCATAGGGGTAATTTAGAGAAAATTGATAAATATGAGAAATTGGTCTTATATTTAGGACCAAAACCAACTTAAAAATTAGGTCCTATATTAAGGACCGGAGGAGTATATATATATATATATATATATATGGAAGTGCTTTTACTATCTGGTCTTAAACAGAAGAATTTTATTTTAAAAGGTTATCTTAATATTTTACAAATAACTAATTAAATTAATTTATTTAATTTATTTAAATAAATTAAGCAGATTTTATATCAGGACAGGGAATAGTATTAAGGATAACAGTAAGCAGCAAATATGGGATTTCTAACTTGGAAAAGAAAACAATAAAGAAAGTATGATTGGTAGAATAATTAAATATTAACACGTATATTACTGACCTGAGGTTCAAGCTCATAGAAGGAATTACAGAGCACCCAATCTGCTTTCTCAATATTAGAGAACTGATTCACAACCATGTCCGTAAAAGCTGGATAAGGCCCCAAAACATACAGGAAGGACGGCAAGTCACAAGAAGCAAGTGGAGGCAACGCTGGAAGTAAAATCTCAGACTTATCATCATCAGTCGCAGGAATCTTCAAGTTTCGATGATAAACATGATAATATATACTGTTCACTGCACAAGATTGAGTGAAAAACACAGCTCCCATAATCCCAAACTTCTTGGTCACTTCAAGAGCCCAAGGTATGAAGGAATCATACACAACACAGTCAATTGAATCCCCAGAACTCGTAAGCTTCTCTAGAAGTTCTTCAAAAGTCTTTGAGCCTACGTCCCAGAAACGATCGACGTAAGCTTTGTCACTTGCGGCGGCGGCTAGTCCTCCGTCGTCAAAGCCGTCGGAGATGCTTTCGAGAGCTATGGAGGTTGATTTGAACTGCAAGGTGTTGCAGAGGAAGCGGGAGGCGACTAGTGTGACTCTCACACCTTTATGAACCAAACGCTTTGACAGTTGAAGCATAGGGTTGACATGGCCTTGAGTTGGAAAAACCAAAACCAAACAATGGGGTTTTCTGTTTAGCCGCTCTTCCATTGTTAATCCTCCTTTGCTTGAAACTATTCTGGGATTGGCGTATATATACAAGTGTCTGGTTGAATTTAATCCTTTTAATATAATATTATTATCTGTCATTTTTCTCTGCCTAAGCAAACGAAGTAGACTTCTTTGTACTATATGTATTTCTATTCCCAAAAATAAGTTGGACTTTTTTGCTTTTGGGGCAAACAATGACATGGACATCCCGATGCATGAAGTCTATGAAGCCAGCCTGTATAAGGGGATTGGACTCATTCAATGGAAGGAAATATAAAGGAATGAAATAAAGAAAAATATAATACTCTCTCTGATCTTAAATATAAGATTTTTTTTAGTATAAATTACACTATAAAAAAGATCTTATATTTAGAGTACTACAAAAAGAGTTTTATATTTAGAACAGGAAGAGTAGTACTTTATTGTCAGACTTTTTTTTTTTATAAGAGCCTGATTTGAATTGTTTTAATTTTTTAATAAAATCCCAATGTAGTTGTATGGACAATTAATACGTTTTTACTATTTTTGTCCCTAATTAATTTTACATATTGCATTAATTAGAACGTCAGCAAGTTGACACGCTTGAAAAAAATTATTTTTTAAATGTTTATTATTTTTAACTAATTTTAATTTTTTAAAACTGCATAATTTAATTGTCAAGTACCTAATTTGAGATTTTTGAATGTTATCTATTTTATCATATTATCCCTTATATTTCCATACCACCCCTCTTTTTTTTTTTAATTTTTATATTTAATTGTAGGGGTATCCACTTGTGTTTCATCCTAATAGCTGGCCTCCTGTCTTGATCCCAGTTCAAAAGTTTTTGGGACAGAACAAAAGTAGAATGGGACAAAAATATCTTGAGATATAAGACAAGGATATCTCGTCCTAATATATCATTTTTCTACTTTTATAAGTTTATTTTACTTATTATTAATATAATATAATTTTTATGATTGTGTTGTTTACTATTTATAAGTTTTTTTTATGGGTTATATGATGTCTTTTTTAGGGATATTCTGAGCCTATATATTTTCTGTGTTTCAAAAAGTTTGTTAGGAGGAGCAGATTGAATTAATTAGGTCCATTAGTTCCAAACACTCAATAAAATTTTGCCATGTGGATTACTTGTGCACACACTACTAGAAAAAAGACATTTAACGTCGCAAAATAATGGCGGTTAAGAAAAAAAAACACCGTGAAAAAAAAAAGCTGTGGCACTTTTGTAAATAAGTGGCCTGACGATTGATTTTTCACGACTGTTATTAAGAAAACCGCCATGGGAAGTTTTAAAATAAGCCACAATAGGGTTCAGTTTGACTCATTTTCATAGTTTTGTATCAGTGCGCTGTGGCCCCCCTCTGTCCCACCACCAATGAACTTTCATTATCGGCCATTACCCGTCCCTTTCCCACTGTTTAAACCCCTCCATTTAGCTTGTGGTATCTTGCCGCCATCCACCACTATTTCAACGCCTATCTTTTCGCATTTGAATCGCCTCTATTGAGTGAGTATCCTCTTCTTTCATTTTTTTAAATTTTTCTTGGTTTTTTTGGGATGTTTTCACCATAAAAATCTGTTGTATTTCTAATGGGTTTGTTAGTTTTATAATGTGGTTGGCTTGCATTGTTGATTTTGCGTTTTTTATGTGCTTGAGGTGTTGATTGGTGACAGCATTTAGTGTGAGAAAACCTCAATTCCTTCCAATATATGGTATTAGAAACCTGTTTAAATGTTTGAAGTTGATTAATTTTAAACTTTTTTATTTTTTATAATTTTTTTATATTTATTTAGAATTTTTGGTAATTTTTTTGTAATAAACTTGGGAATTTAGTAATAAATAATCTGTTCAGTGTTTTGTGAATTTTTTTTCGTTTTGAACTTTAATTGATGATAAAGTGTTATTTAAAATTTCATTGCAAATGGATATCATTTGTGTTCCTATTTTGGATTCAGAAGTTTTAGCTTTAAAAATCTTTATTCGTTGAATTGATTTGAAATTGAATTTTTATTTTTGTTTTATTTGTTATATTTCTTCAAATTTATCCTGTCTTTAATTTGTTTATTACATTGTAAGTTGGTTTGGTTGATTGATTGATTTGTTTACTTTTTAAATAATTTGAGATTTGTTATAGGCAAAATTAGAATAGAGTACCTAAAGGGAATAATATTTTTACAAAAATTTACTTCTTTAGGTGTATATATATGTTTTAATTTATTTTTACAAAAAGCTAAATTTTATATACAAATCTATTTTTATTTTTTTCTATAACTTTAAATTAGAAACAAGTGTTTGAAAAGAAATTATATTAAATTAATTTAATATTTTTATAAAACTTTATGCATATTGAAATATGTTATGAAGAATAGTTTTAATTTTGATTAAAATAATTTTTGTTTAACTATTTTATAAAACTTATATATGTTCGTTTGATTTTATATTTTTATTAACATTTCACTCATTCTCTATATATACCAATTTTTAAGAAATTACTTAATCTAATTTTTAAAAGTAATTATATATTTTATTTTTTTATTATAATATATTTAATATATTTATGGTCGTTTTAAATAATTACAATTTTTAGGATTCTTTATAATAAATATAACTTTTTCTTGGTCTTTCACTCTAATTTTCCCTTTGTTATATATTTAAGGAGAAATTTTATCAAATTTTTTATTTTTAAAAAAGAGACATTCCCTTTAAGGAGAAATTTTATCAAATTTTAATTTATTGACTAACATTTAATTATTTTATTATTTGAATATTTGAATTAAAGAGTTAAAATTGAGATTGACAACTATGTTTATTGACTCTGTAGAACAATAGATCATAGTTAGATGAAAGCTAAGAGAATTAGCAAATAGTATGAGGGTGGGGTTGAAAGGTTTTTTGAATTTGCTCAGAGAAATACCCCTAGTAAAAGAGATGGATTGTACTATTGTCTTTGTGTCAAATGCTTAAACAATAGTTGACAAGTATTTCTGAGATAAAAGAGCATTTTATCTGTGATGGGATAAATTTGAAGTATACAAATTAGATATGGCATGGAGAAATTAGAAAGACTACACTGTCTGGAAAGGATGAAGTTGTGAATGAAGACTTTGGTGATAGAATTTCGGATATGTTTTATAATATAAAGTCTAAATCATCCACACAGTTCTCTCCCACTTTTGAAACTTTGTGTAGTGATGCAAAGATGCCTTTATACCCAAAGTGTAAAGATGATTACACAAGGTTGACAACCATGTTGAAATTGATGAACTTGAAGGCAAAAAATAGTTGGACTAATGCTAGCTTCACGGAATTGCTTGAATTGTTAAGTGATATTCTTCCAAAAGGGAATTCACTTCCAAAACGAATGTACAAGGCAAAAAAAATTGTGTTTGATGATGGGTTTAGAATATGAGAAGATACATGCGTGTCCTAATGTCTGTATATTATTCAGAAATGCGTATGAAGGGTTGAATAAGTGCTCTAAATGTGAGACTTCAAGATACAAAGTTAAGAAAGATGATGGTGATTATAATGAGATGACTAAAGGTTCTTCTTTGAAGGTTCTGTGGTATCTTCCAATAATATCACGATTTAAGCGTCTATTTGCTAATGCCATAGAAACAAAGAACTTGAGATGGTATTTTAATGAGAAAATATGTGATGGAAAGTTTCGACCCAGCAGATTCTCCTCAATGGAAAATAATAAATAAAAAATTTTCTCAATTCGGTAGCGAGCCAAGAAACCTTTGGTTAGGGTTTTGTACGGACAGAATTAATTTATATGTTAATCTTAGTAGCACACACAGTGCTTGGCCGGTGCTTCTCGTAATTTATAACTTGCCTCCTTGGTTATGTATGAAAAGAAAGTATATCATGCTATCTTTGATGATCTCAGGGTCAAAACAGCCGAGAAACGATATCGATGTGTATTTGGCACCTTTGATTAAGGATCTGAAGAAATTATGGGAGGAAAGTGTTGATGTGTTTGATGCATATAAAGAAGAGACCTTCAATTTACGTGCCATGATCTTCACCACGATAAATGACTTTCCAGCATATGGAAATTTGTCAAGAAACAGTGTTAAGGGGCATAAAGCATGTCTGATATGTGAAGAAGCACCCACTACATGCAACTTAAACATGATAGGAAGACGATCTATCTTGGTCATAAAAGGTTTCTTAGTCGGCATGACCCTTACCGTAGGTTGAAGAAGGCATTTAACAGCTCGCAAAAATATCAAATGGCTCCAATACCATTAACTGGAGAAAAAGTTTATCAACGGGTGGAGGGAATTAATATGATCCTCGGTAAGAAGAAGAAGAAGACTGCTAGTGAGAGGAACATATGGAAAAAATATCTATCTTTTTGATTTTCTATATTGGCAAAGTCTTGATGTGAGGCATAGTTTAGATGTGACGCATGTGGAGAAGAATATGTGTGAGAGCCTTGTTGGTACATTTTTACATATAAGTGGAAAGACTAATGATGAAATCAATACAAGACGAGACTTAGTCGAAATTAGAATAAGAAAACTCTTCCACTCACAAGAACGAGATGGTAAGAGGACTTATTTATATTTAGCTATGCACACATTATCAAAAGAAGAGAAAAGAAGTTTCTGTAGTTTTGTCAATAGCATTAAGGTGCCACAAGATTATTCTTCTAATTTGAGCAAACTAGTTTCAATGCAAGATTTAAAGATAACAGGAATGAAGTCTCATGATTGTCACGTGTTGATGCAACAATGACTTCCACTTGCTATTCAAGGCATTGTGAAAACTGATGTGAGAAGTACTATGACAAGACTTTGTGTCTTTTTTAGTGTCATTTGTAGCAAAGTCATTGATCCTACTAAGTTAGATGAATTAGAAAATGAAGGTTATATGATCCTCTCCCAATTAGAAATGCACTTTCCTCTATCATTTTTTGATATTATGGTCCACTTGATAGCTCATCTTGTGCGAGAGATAAGACTTTATGACCCAGTGTGTTTAAATGGATGTACCTGTTTGAGAGATACATGAAAATCCTAAAAGAGTACTCTATGAATCCTTATTGGCCTAAGGCATCAACTGTTGAGAGATATGTAGCTGAGGAGGCAGTTGAGTTTTGTAACGCATATCTTGATAGGGTAAAGGCAGTTAGACTTCCTCAATCTCGACATGATCAGGGGAGAAGCAAGGGAACACGGTGTGTCATAATGAGGTCTATGTCAAGAGAAGTTGTAATGCAGGCACATCTATACATTTTAAACAACACGGATGAAGTTTTGCCTTACTTGAATGCTTACAAGAATATGCTGAAGAACTTGAATCTAGGAAAGAACGATATGCAACTAGCTAATGAACATAATAAGTCATTTGCAGAGTGGTTCAAGCAAGAAGTGTTAAAAGATGGTAATCCTTCTAAGACAATACAGAGACTAGCTGTAGGGCCTTGTTTTGCGGTTTCGTGTTGGGACATATATGACATAAATGGTTATTCATTTTACACCAAAATCCAAGATGATAAGAGTACCATGCATAAGAGTAGGGTGATGGTAGTAGCTGAAGCTGTGGATTTTGCTAGTTCTAAAGATAGAAACCCAACATTAGCGGCAATGTCCTATTATGGAATAATAGAAGAGAATATGTTTCAGGGTTCACCTGTGATGAAAAGTGAGAAAGGCAGTAATAATCAAACGCAGCAACAAACAGTGTCTGACCCTGACTATAGATAATGGAATGCCGTGTGCTCTCTATATGGACTATGAAGATTTAGTTGTTCATGTCGCTAATAGTCGAGCATTCTTGGGCACAACGATCCATAGCGAGAAAGTTTTGAGCAATCAAGCGAGGGTGATGGTGGATAGGATTCTCCATGGTCAAGGCGGTACACCAGTGCCCAACCTTACTGATGAGGTTCAACTATTGGCTCAGGCTAAAGGATATTTCATTTTGTGGCCAAAGAGACTTGTTGCAAAGCCATTGACGAAGAAGGCGACAGCAAAGAAGGCCATAAAGAGTGCATTATCAGATCTTATATACTCCTGCTTCTTCCGGATGATGTTGCACTTATGTATTCCAATTTGGAGGTTCTTCATTCCGTAGTAGCAAACATAGATAAGCCTGTTACTTTCAAGATGCTGCTGGGGATTGTGGGTTCATATGTAACATACACCTTCACCATTGACAAAAAGGACCTCGTTCAGTTCCTTAACTTTGAGGAGCTGGATGTAGTCTTTATGCAACTAGCTATTTTGTAAGTTACAATATTATTTTCTTATTTCATGTTATACTTATGCATGTTCTAATGTTTTTTATTTGAACAATAGGCACTTTACTCAAATCTGTTGGCACGGAGGACTTGAAGAAATATATGGCTTTATGTGTTCTCAAAGGGTGCAGAAAATAGTCAATACTGTGAAAGCAAAATCGATCTACATGATAACCACAATGACTCAGACGAGAAAGCAAATATATTTTGCACCTTACGTAGAAGGAGTAAATATATTATTGTATTTGAGATACACAAGTTGTATGTATAGGATTATAATTAACAGGGTTCGTATTTTATAGTTATCATTGGACCCTAATTGTTTGTGCCCCTTTTGATAACAAAGTCTTACTAGTTCAATTCCCTCTATGGAGGTCCATTCAAAGAAACCAGAGATGTCATCGACATGTTACTTTATGTTTATATATTTATTACGTGTGAAGTTTATAAAAACATGCTCTAATATCTTTTTTTTATTGTTGATAGGGCTTTTCATAGTTTCAATGTTGTGGCGAAGAAGCAAAATAGACAACCACCAACATGGATTCTTCCAAAAGTATGTTGTTTTGAGCTAAATATATATTTTTAAATCTTTTTCAATATTTAAAGTTAATGTTTATAATCACAGTCTAATATTCAATTTTATATTTGATTTTGTTAGTATCGTTGTCAATAAGGGAGTGTTGAATATGGATATTATGTCATCCACTACATGAATGACATTATTGAGACAGGGGTGACTAAGAAATTAAACGAGATAAAGATAAGTTACATTGCATGTAATTCTTCAATTTTTTTTTCACATTTTTAATTAAGTTGACTATGTTATTTTTTATTTATAGGTATTTCAAAATGCTGCGCCATATCACATGGATGAAATCAACTTGATGAGGGACACTTTGTCAACAACATTGCTCTAGAATTTTGAAAATTTGAAATAATTAGGTCAATCCTTGAGAAATTCATTGTCAGATTTTTTTTCTTTTAGTTTTCTCCCTATACATGTTCCGTAGTTCTATTATGCAGACATAATTCACTTGTTACTATTCTTTGAAGATATAGATTCCCTTGTACTTTGCTTCTCTACATTAAGCTTTGTGCCTATGTTAGAAATTTCAATGCTTGTTGTATTTATATTAACTAGCTAGTTGATTATTTGTTCATATGGTCATCTTGAAATTGTTCTGCATATTCTGCATTGCCTAGATTTATTTAGAATTGTAAACTACAGGGAGGTAAAAAGAAATTCATGCAGTATTATAAAAAAATTAAGTTTTTAAAGGCGGTTATTTGAATAACCTCTGTTAAAACAATTTACTACGGTAGTTATTGACTAAACTATTGTGGAAAGTTGAACTTTAATAACCACTGTGGAAAGTCAATTTTCCAAACCGTCGTGTTTTATTTACTTTTCAACGTCGACTGTATCCACTTCGCCTCCAGAACTGCCGTGACAAACCCTTAATAACTGTCGTTTAAAGCCTTTTTTCAGGTAGTGACATTAGCACATAAACTTTGTTAAACCACCATTATCATGACAGCTTTTATGATTACAGCGCCCTGTTTCATCCAGCTGGTTTACCTCCTCCGAGGTGTCCTTGACGCTGCTCAACTTCCTGCAGATGGCGGTGTACCATTGGTCCCTCCAAAAGGCACTAAGAGGGGGTGAAATATAGCTTATCGAGGAGAAGGAAGTCAGCTATCAATACCATAGACTTTATCATATATGACACTTGATACTTGACGATTGTTGAATAAAATGTTAAGTAAGATGAGGCAGAAATTAAAAAACACTTATTTGATGGTTATTTATTAAAACCATCAAATATTATATACATATATTTAATGGTTAAATATATGAAGCGTGAAATATTTATGATAAAAAAGTTTTAGAAAATTTATTTAATGGTTGAATCTAAGAACCATTAAATAAATATATCAATTTTTAGAATATATTTAACAGTTTTTACATCTGAAGCTCAACTTTAAAGCTCTTCCTCATCCTCAACATCATGACCTAGATTTCTTTCTAGAGCTCTATCGACTCCAATCTCCACCACCACCCCCCACTTCCTCTACTTCTTTCTCCATCACTACTTGCTCTTGCCCTTTGCTCTTGCATTCCTCCAATATGGTCTGTATTTTGTCCAATACTTGTTTGGGGTGGATTTTGGAACTCTGTATGAAGTGATTTCAAAGAGCTTAGAGTCCTAGGATTCGACAATAGAGAGAAGGGAGAAGCCTAGGCGACGTCGTCACTTGCCATTTTAGGTTCCTATTCTTCTCATTTCTTATCTTGGATTTAGTGCTTTCTCTCATACTAGTATTTATTAAGGGTTTCTATCTCTATTGTTGTAACCCTTGTCATTATGAAACTTGGGCAAGGCAGTCGCTCACCGCAATCAAGTTCTATCTTAGCTGACAAAGTGATTTGCTGCACACATTCCCTTTCCTTTCCCATTTTAGGAAGAGATAAAGGAACCTAATTGGTGGAATGACATGTCGCAGAGGATATTGGTGAAATGGCGAAGACTAGAAAAGGAAATAATAGATGAATTTTGGGAAGGCTTGATATGACTTCTATGGGTTCACCTTGTGAATGCTATGTTATTGCCTATCAATTTATATTGACTGTTCTTTTTAAAAAGTGTCAAGTAAGGGTAGCCTTATTTGACAGTTAAAAACTGTCAAGTATTATACATAGCAAATATGACGAGTCCTTATTTGATGGTTCAGAACTATCAAATATAAGTAAAAATAACGGTCAAATATTAAGAAATCTGTCGTAGTGCATGATAATTAAGAGGGTCAAATTGAACTCGAAGAGAGCGGCCTGCTCGATTTCCTTAGTTAGAGATGGAGGAGCAAAAACTTGAGAGGAGGCAGTGAGGGGAAAGGGATTTGAAGGTGAGGAAACAAGGGATAAGAGTTGGGCTTTGAAATTTTTAGACAAAGGGTTATTAGGAGTGAGATTTGGAGCACCTTGTGTTTAAGGGAAGGGAAAATAGAGAAACGATAATCATAGGT